GAAATAAATTCAATTAAAGGACATGAAGTCCGCAGAATACATTATGAGTAATTTTAGCTAAGTAAATCGAACTGAAACGATGATATGCTCCCAGAAAATTAGCAAGTGAGATTGTGCCAGGTATCACCGTAACAGTAGAATGAGCGAGAAGTAGAACGAGCGAGAAGCAGCATCAGCCGGTGGTTTCCCGCCTGCTCAAAGCAGGCCGGCTGTTAAATAGGAAAATGGCAGAATCAGGAGACTATGGTGTGCGGAGGGAGAGGTGGGTCGAGAAAATTGTTTGCCGAAGAAAGAGTGCTGAACTCTACTTTTCTTTATCAGCTGTTTATATATCGATCGTGGTCGGTGGCTTATTTAATTACGTATTTCTGGCTCGTGTTGATTCATGCAATTTAATTAATTGATTAATTAATTAATTGATTACTAGATTCATTCTTTGATTTCGATTCCGCCATTTGCCCCATGATTTGAGGGCCCGGCTTGTAGCACGTGGCGAATAACCCTGACCAGTTCTTCCCTTTCTTTTCGATCCGTTGACCCTTGTCAACATGCAATAAAAAAAAAACATTGCCAATAAACCAAGCATAACATTATACTTTACCCTCATAAAAAAAAATATAAAAGTTCATGTCATTTTATGATCACTTATTAAAATTGCTTTAATACTATTTTAAATTATTTTAAAGTTCGCAAGAAAAAAAATCTAATTAATCTGTTAAAATTCTTATTTATTTTCATTTTCGTAAGGATGTTATTTCATTATCATGAAAAAAATTAGAATCAACTCTTTTCTATAACAAACAAATGGTTCTTGATGAAAAAACTTTCACCATAAAAAATTACTATTTTTATAATATGATATTAAAGAGTTCATGGTACTTTTTTACTGAACTATTATAAAATTTGAAATTTTTTCGAGTTCGTCATGGAGGATTTTATTATACAGTCTACAGTATACAAAAAATTTATTAAATAATTATTGTAGCTTTTTAAAAATATAATTCTGTTAAGCAATCTTTTTTTTTTTTAAAAGAAAAATATCAAAAATTTTTTCTTGAATTGTTGGTTCGATTGTTAAATTGCCATGGCAAAAGTAAAAGTAATAGAGTATGATCATTCAATTATTAAGTTAAAGCTAACTAGTATGTGTGAACTTGTAGTAACTTTCGGGTCTCTCAATATAGCTAACTTTCTCGTGATTGGTTAATTTTATTCAATTGAATTTATACAGTTTAGAGTACTTTTACAACCCCTGATAGTAAATTCTTTTGGTTTAATAATTAAGAACTGGTTAAACTACTCTCAAAGATTCTTCACAAAGAAAGCTTTAAGTATCTTGTGTATTTCTTGGATCCACTACATCTAAGCATACCTCATTAAAAAATGGATTTTAGCTTTGAGGAATGACAATGTGCAGTAATCGTGTATGCTGAAGCTTCTAATCATTCCTTAAAGAAGGTTACTAATTTTGTTCTAGAACAGGCTCAACAGAATCAAACTTTACCATCTTACTTAAAAATTAACAATATGATATGTCAGTGGTGTTACAATGGAATAGTTCTTCAACCTTCAGCTGTGATAAAAGATAATGCTCAATCTGCAGGTATTGAAGAATATTCTGATGCAGTGGTTGATACTTAGGATGATATTATAGAGGTAATGACTTTTTCAAATATAATCAAATTGATGACTGATGTTTTATATTAGCATGAAGTTACTCAAAAATTGTCAGCATTTTGAATATTTGAAGAATTTCGTACCTGCATGAAAGCTAAAGATAGGCATTTGAAAGCTTTTTTTGATGAACTTGTATTATTAGCAAACTTGTTATAAAAAAAGCATGAATCATAACCTAAAATTATGTCTCAGTTGTTACTCATTTGTTATATTCTTTGTGGTATATATAACAAATTTATTATTAATGTAAAGCGTGATCTAGCTCTTTATCTTGATTCTACAGGTACAGAGGATTCAACTATTAATGCTTTAGTAGAACTTGGTATTACATCAACATCCCAAACAGTCCAGTGTAAAAAAAAAGAAATTTCTAAAAACCATATAGATACAATAAATTACTATTTAGAAAAATATCATGAAATTTCTATGGTCTTAAAAGTGGATAATTATCATAATATATGTACCAATTGTATCCCAAAGAATAATGAAACATTAACACCAACTCACATAGCAACAATTCTTCTGAATTCAATAAATGCAACATTGCCAATTTTTATTAATTTTAATAGTACAAGTATACATAATCCAAAGACCAATGATGCTAATTCTCTAAAGATTGATTTAGAGAATAGATTTATAATATTATTAGAAATATCATTTAATGAATAATGGTTAATCAGGTAAGTAAAAATGAATAAGAAACTATAGAGACATTAATGATCCATAGTTATAATATTTAGCTTAAAGAAAGAATAAATAATCAATCATTAAATAATATCATTTTTATTGATCTTGTAAAAAATAATTACATACTATTAATGATTATTTAGAAAGTTTGTCTATTATTAGGAAAGTGAATGCTATACGAGAATATTTTGACTCAGGTTATGTAATACCTCTTGTGGCTGATTGGCCTGGCCAAATATTTTTAAGAAGTGTGATATCATGGGTTTTAACATATGGTGATGGGTCTAATATTCCTCAAGATATATTGTTATTTATTTCTATTATCAGACCATTGCATATATTCTTAAACAGTTATGAACTAGTCTATATACAGTATCAACTATTTTTCTCTTTATATATAATGATTTATTTAAAAAAACAAGAGAACTTGGAACTAATATTCAACTCTGAAAAGATTAATTTGCTTCTTAAGATGACTTGTCATAGCTGGCTTTAAATTTCAGATATTGTTAAAAAAAATTTTAGCCTATGCAAAGATCTTGAATATCTTACATTTAAAGATTTATTGAATAATTTAATTCTACTCATTCTTAATATATATACAATTTTTTTTCATGCAGGTGAATGGGAAGAATATAAGAAGTCAATAATATGGGTTTGGATACTTTTTTTATAGTTTCATTATTATAACTATAATAAGGCACTACTAATGTTTTTATCTGATTTTCATATTGGAGAAATACTAACTATCTAATTTTAAAAATTTTAAAGACACATTTGTCAAAATTTTCAGATGCTTCTGTCAAATTATTTCATAACCTTTTACAATAAACTATTTAAAAACATAATAGTGCAGATTACTAAAAATGTCAAGCATATTTTATTAATTTTTTAAGATGTGAAAAATATTTCAAAAAGTTATTTGAGTATCAATTCACATGAAAAAAATATTTTTTGAGTCAAAGAGATTTAAATAGCTGCATACAAAAAGCAGCATGTTTTTTATTAAGCCAGTTTATTAATATTTATAATCAAATTATTACAAAAGGCATAATGGATTTAAATTTAGACAAAACAGAAATATTAACTCAAGAAAAAAAAAGAAAAAAAATTGTCAATGGTCCCAATATATCTATGTTGGCTATTGGAATTATTGTGAATACTTATCACCTTCCTTTGGGTTTTAGTATTTTGCAAAAACCTAACTAATCTGTTTTGTGTAATTATTTATTATGTACTAAAGCAGATATTCATATATTTACTAATTTCTTATTTCCTAATTTAAAAATACTAGCCTGTAGTCACAAATATTATGTAGAATGTTTGAACAAAGTTAACCAGAAATATTTACCTTGTTTGCAATTTTTACAGGATGGAATAAAGATGAATATAAATCAATTATTAGAATGTCTATTGGATTTGCATAACAAAAAAAATAAAAATAAAAACAAAAAGAAACCAGAAAATATTTAGGTTCATGAAAGTGAAATAGAAGGATGTAAAACAGGAGAACCTGAAAGTAAAAAAGTCAAAGATGATAAACTTATCATCTTGTGTGGTATTGAAAAAACAAAACTTGATGATTTATTGCAAATGCTTAAAAGGTTACAATAAAAAAAAAATTTTTAAATAAAAAAATTAAAAATAAAGTTTTTAAATAAAAAATTTAATTTATTTGAATTATTATTAAACTATTTGAAGAATTTTCTATAGCATAGGTGGGCAATATAGAAATATTATAAGATAATAATATATAAAAACTCTAACCCTAACCATAATCTAACCTTAATTTAAACTATAACCCTCGTCCTAACTATAACCCTCGTCCTAACTCTAACTATTTATAAATTTGCTTAAATTAGTTCAAATAGTTATTTTTATATATTATAATCTTATAATAATTCTAAATTGCCTACCTATACTATAGATTAACCCTATTTGAATTTACGATTTATATAATCTGACTAATCATATTGAATTATTTTATTTCACTAATTGACTAATCATAAGATAGTTGTTCTATATAGTCTCTTAGGTCAAGCAAACTCCAGGCTGCAGATTATTTCTAATCAAAATTCTTTTTAAAATTTTGAATTTTTTTAAACTTCTAGCAAATATTTCCCAATAACAATTAGGTAAAAACTGTTTTATTTTAATTCTTTATATTTGTAAAATCAAAATAAAAAAAAGTTTATTGAATTTGGTTTAGTGATCATTGAGAAACCTTTGCCAAAAGTTTTGAAAAAAATTGAAACATGGTAAAAATCTAAAATCGGCAAATTTTTTCTTTTTAAAAGTTTAAACGACGATTTCTCAACAATTATCAATCCAAATTCAATGATTTTTTTTTTATTTTGATTCTATGAGATTAGAGATTGGAATCAATAACTAATTATTCGATCATCGATCAAAAATTTCAAGCATCAAAATAAGCTTTCATTCATTGAGTTTTTAATTTGGTTATCATCAAGCATCAGTGAAAGCTAAAATTCAACTATTTGTTTTGATGTACATTTTTTGATTAAATTTAACTGTGTTTTTGATAACGATAATATGACTATATATTTTCTGATTGATTACAAATACAATTGCATAAAGATTGATTTAATAAATCTTTCAAATTTTCTAATTAACATTGGCGTATTTACCGTAAAAACATGAAATTTGATTTAAAATTGAATAAAGAACCATCTTCTGTTAATGCTCCACAGTTCCTGCATGTTCTCAGATGCAGGAAATTTTATATTTGAAGAGAACATTATTAAAGCCAAAGTTATTTGGCAGAATAATATTTCCAAACATAATATGAAATCAATTGGTTTTACTGTTTCTGAGATCTAGGATTAGTATAAGGTTGTTTTATAATGCAAAACATTATTTGGCTTATATCTATGATTATTACCTTATTTGATTATGGTTTAGAGTACAGTATATGGTTATTTATTAATTGGTCAACCGTTTACTTGCGTTCTGCCATATTTTCTTTTGGCTAAAAAGGATAAGATCATCATAAAACAATTTTAATACGTACTATATTATACTTATACTTGAATGAACTTGAATTTATATATGTATTGTAAGGACCCCGAACAATACTAACAGAGGTTATATTTGAATCATTAGCAGTTTTTATGCAATTTGATTAGATAAAAAAAATTTTAGCCAATCAAATTGCTTAATTTTGCAAAATTTTAAGATCTGTTGGCTATTTTTCAAATATAACCTCTATTAGTATCAGTGTTTCAGACAAAACCTAATTTTGCAGTTTATTTGCAGATCAAATTGAGCAAAACTAGTTTTGGAAGGTTTGGACTTATAGAGCAGAACTAGAATTTTTCTGGGTGAAGTGTTTTGGATTTAGAAAATAGTTTTATCTAAAACACTAATCAGTATTGTTTGAGGTCCTGTATTGTATATATTGATCAGTGCTATACTGTATATTCTGTTCAGATCCCAAATTTTTTTATCATGCTCAAGTTGTATTTATACTTTTTTTTAATTGTCATGTGATTTTAAATATAAAATTAAAATTTGGATTTAACAACATAGTAACAGGTAATAAACTATGCTAATTTTATTAATCTAGCATATTTTGATTAGAATTTATACTTATAGCTATTTTCATAATTTCTGGGCCACTCTGAAAAAATTGCTTAAGTTGATAAGTTATTTATCTCAATATTACACAATATATATAAATGCATAATACTTGTATACCAGTATGAATCAATATCCAAGATTTTTTAATTCATCAAAAATATAATACTTTCAAAATATATGTATTGAAAAATAGTTGAAAAGAACTTAAAAGGCTTGTTAGCTAAAGTAATTGCTAAACACTTGGATATTAGCAGAGCTTTTGTGAATCAAGTTTACAAGTAATTTCAAAAGTATGGCTTTGTTAAAAACTTACTATCACTTTTAGGCAGATCTTGTTTATTAAATATAAATGATATCAAATATCTCAAAATTTTATTAAAAGAAAACTAAATTGGTATTTGTATGAATTACAATCAAAAATAGAACTATAGTCAAGATACATGATTAGTCTTACAACAATTTGGAGAGCTATATATTGACTTGGATATATAAATAAACAAGTAAGATTTTTTTCAAAAATATAATTTAATTTATTTATTTAATTTATTTTTTTTTTTTAAGAGAGATTTTGATCTCATGTGCTTTATTAATTATTATAATCTTGATTACAAGTTTATTAAATACCTAATATAACTTTTGGTGTATAATAAGAATAGGGCTATAATTAACTATCTATA